TGGTTGGCCGACCTCCCGCGGCCACGCTTGGCGTCGTCGTCAGAGTCACTGCGGTCGGAGCACTCGAAGGAAAGGTGGTCGGGGTCGTCGCACACCCAGCATTCCTGGCGTCGCCCTCCTGCTCCACGACCGCTTCCCTTCGCCGACTTCCCCTTGTCGGCGTCCTTGTCTGGCTTCCCACCTCTGCTACAACCGCTGCCAGGCTTGGCGCGCTGCCCCGGTCAGCCACCTTGCTTTGTCAGGGCGACGTAGTTCGCCTGCGGCAGGAGCTCCGTGGACTTCTCGGCCTCCTGCATCGCCTCGTCCCTGAGGATGTACGAGATGAGCGAGTCCTCGTTGAGAGAATCCCGCGTGCCCGACACCACCATCACCCGCTTCATCAGGTTGTAGCCGCTCGGGAGCCTCTTGATGGCGTGTGTGGTATACGACGCCGTCGAGTACTCGACGCCGGCCATCCGCATGCGTGCATGAAGACGCCGAACTCGGTTGCAGTAGTTAGTTGCCGTCTCCTGCTCGCCCATCCGCAGGTGCGTCATCTGCTCCTCCAGCTGGCCGATGTACAGGTCGTCGGTGACCTGATATGTCGTCGTGATGAACTGCCACGCCCGGTGCCCGGCGTCACGGTGACTCCGGCACGACTTCGGGGCGATTTGCACCACAGACGAGCGGCAGCGCGAGATGACTGTGAAGGTCAGCAGGTGCACGGCGCGAAACTCCGCACGCAGCTCAGGGTTGCTCTCCAGCGGCGTCTCTACGGAGCTGTTGGCGAAGCACATCAGCCCGGCCATCTCCAGCTGGGGCTTGATGATCTCCTTCCACGAAAGGAGGCCGTGGCGGCCGACCAGCAGCGGGTTGACCGCGATCTTGTCCGGCGTGAACTTGAAGTAGCCGTAGGTCAGCGCTATCCCGCTCGCAGTCACGTGGGTCGCCGACGCTGGTGTCACGCTGCCTCAACGTCCTCCGTCGTCGCCTTGCGAGGAGCCCGCAGCCGCCGACGACTGCAGCCCTCGCGCCTGAACGAAGGCATTGAGTGAATACTTATGTGCGAACATGCAAACGGTAACGCGGTGCGTGCGAGCTAGCTAGTGCTAGGCTGGCATCGAGGTTCGGGCTAGTCCCAAAGCGTAGGCCGACTCGGCCGGGCCAACGGAGCATGGTTTGGTGAAACAGTGCGCGGCAAAGCCCCGTTAGCAGTAACAGGCGAACAACGGCTGATGCTGTACGCGATGTTGATGGTTGGAGTAAGGGCGACGTCGGGTTGTACATATATCGGAGATATTCAGTTCTAGTATCGTGGCTCAAAACGGTTCCACACTGTGGGAAGCGGTTCTCCAAGCTGACCGTTTTGCACCGGAACGAAGTTGAGTATACAGAAGTTGTACAACCTGACGTCGCCCTAAGGGCGAGGTCAGGTTGTACATTTCTCAGCACCTTTACAGTGAGAGTTTGGCTCAATCCCGCGGAATCGCGATTCGTTTTATTATCGCCACGTGACATGCCTTCGATCGCGTGAACCGCTATCTGTTTTATTGTTATCACAAACTTCAACAGAAAATTAGTTAAGTTCTGTACTGCGTGCTACGATCTGAAAGGGGATCGCTCCCAGGATCTACTCGGGAAGGTTCGCACGCAGGTAGATAGTGTTGGTGGGCCCTTGACCTCAATAGCAGAGTGAATGTAAAATGCTTGAGATGATTAGAACATGCAAATACAACGATATAAATAGGAGTACAGGGAATTCGAATCGACCTAGCTAGCCATGTACTCTAAGGGGTACATTCCCTTATTCAAATTCATTCTCAACCGTGCGGCGCGTACAGTTATAAAAATTGTTCCCGCCAATTCCTCTTGCCTGCAGCTGCCCGATGCCGTCTGCTCCGACGGTCCAGATGCAGTTCAACCGTCTGCGACGCTTCGAGTCAGTTTTGACTCTTCTAATCCATTCTTGTTACTGCGTGCTTCTTTAGCTGCGGTGAGGAGTGCACAGTAGTGTTCTGATGTCACTATTCGTAACACCCCCCTTCACTCCTGGCCGTAGCTCGACTTGACCTGCTTGACCACTCCGCTGAGTTCGGAACAGTGTTGATACTGCTGACGTGGTAGTCGCTTCGTGAGGAAGTCTGCTGCCATGTCACCGGTCGGGCAATAGGTCAAGTCAACCTTGCCCTTGTCCACTTCGTCCTTGATGAAGAAAAACCGCAGCGCAATGTGCTTGGTGCGGTTGACGAAGCCAGGTTTGTTCGCGATGCGAATCGCGCTCTGGTTGTCGCAGTGGAGGCGAAAGGTGGGCGAAACTGGAATCTTCGCCTCCTGCAGAATTTCCTGCAAGCAGAGCCCTTCGCGAACTGCTGCAGTTGCTGCGATGAATTCCGCTTCGGCTGATGACAGGGCAACCAACTCCTGCTTCTGCGAATTCCAGGAGATTGGTCCCGTTGGTTCGAGTCGGAACAGGAAGCCAGTCCTGGACCGTCGATTATCGGGGTCTGCTGCGTGATCGGCATCCACGTAGCCGATGAGGTTGAAGGATGGGGTTGGTGCAGTTGAGTAGCACAGCCCGATCTTGGGCGTTGAAATGAGGAACTGCAAGGCGCGCTGCAGGTCCAGAAGGTTCTCAGCCATTGGTTTACGTGAGTATTGGGCCAGCTGACTTGCGATGTAGGAGAGGTCAGGCCTGCATGTGACAGAGGCAAAGAGCAGGCATCCCAGCTGCTGCTGGTAAGTCTGAATGCCAGCAGGGGATAGGGCTTTGTTGTCAGGTTTGTGGTTCGGTCCGGGAGTTCGGTAGGGAGTGGAGAGCGGTGCAGGTGAAATGTTGAATCGCTTCCCTAACTCCTCTGCGTACTTAGCCGCTGAGAGGTGAATGGCCTCAGGCGCGTAGGAGATGTTCAAGCCTAAGAATTGCTTCACCTCGTAGTTGCAAGTGATATCGACGCGGCCCGCCAGACTCCTCTCGAACTGCTTCAGTAGTTCGTTGCTTGAGCCTGTGTAAAGTAAGTCGTCGACGTAGACCGTGAGCAGAATGTATTCGCCCCTGAAATCACAGCGGTACATCCCAGGATCGTGCGGCATCTGCTTGTGTCAAAATAGTATGTAGTGTTAGGAGCCATAGCTAGGAGAGTCCTAGCTAGGCAAGAGACAGTTTAGGCAAAAGAAGAGGGTTTTCACTAGCAGCAATGAGGATACATATAGCAAACCCTAGATGGGTTGTACTCGCTACAGAGCACCCCACTACAGGCTAGAGAATAATATTCTGACACACCCCCATAGCCAAAGTGGGGTGTAATCAGCAGAGCAAACAAAGCAGTACAAGCTCAGGGTGGATCACAATGTCACCACACATTCTGAGCACAAGTTCAAGAAGCAATAGTTTAAAGTTCACAATTATGAGCAAAGCTAGTGGTAGTCACAACGGGCAAGTGAGGAGGAGGAAAGGAGGTAGTGGGCGGCAGCTGAAGCTGCTGGCACACGGCGCAACTGGAGCAACTGGCACACGGGCAACTGGAGCAACTGGCACACTGGCAACTGGAGCAACTGGCACACGGGCTACTGGAGTAACTGGCTCCGCGGCTAAAAGTAGCGGCAGACGAGCAACGGACTCACGGGCGACTGGAGCAACGGGCTCACGGGCGACTGGCGCAACGGGCTCACGGGCGACTGGCGCAACGGTCTCACGGGCGACTGGAGCTGCTGGCTTGACGGCGGCCACCCCCTTCAACCTCCCCAAACTATCCCACTCCCCCTAACACACACCCGCTGCTACACCGCTAGCTCCACTCCCCTTTCACCCCCCCCTTAGTACCACTCCGTCGGCTCCAACAGGTCCACCCCCCCTCAGCGGCAGCTGCAGCACAGGGAGACGGAGGAGGAGGAGGAGCAGGGAACGGCACTCAGAAGCTGCACCCCCATACCCCCCACCCCCAAACCCTAATCCAGGAGAACGGGCAGAAGGAGGGGTGGGGCGCCTTCAGAAGCATGGAGGACAGCGGGGAGGACAGGGGCAGCGAAGAACGGGCCGCCCACGGGCCTGGCACAGCCTCCCGAACCGCGCGCAGGCGGTCCGAGCCGCGCGCGGGCCTGGCGCAGCCCGTACGAGCAGCGCGCGGGCCTGGCGCAGCCCGTACGGGCCGCGCGCCGGCTGTACGGGCCGCGCGCAGGCCACGACGGGCGACGGGGGGCGACGCGCGGGTCCCCGTCGCCCGTCGCAGCGCCTCCCGGGGGCGACGCGCCGAGTGACGGGGCAGAAACCCGCCGCGCGCCTCGGGGCACACGGCGGGCAGAGAACCGCCGCACGCCTCGGGGCGCACGGCGGGCAGAAAACCGCCGCGCGCCTCGGGGCGCACGGCAGGCAGAAAACCCTAATTTCGACGCCGCGCACCACGGGGCGCGCGGCGGACAGGGAGTAGCAGTAGCAGCGGAAGCAGTGAAGTGGGCCCACAGGCCAGGAACGTTAAGCTCTGATACCATGTCAAAATAGTATGTAGTGTTAGGAGCCATAGCTAGGAGAGTCCTAGCTAGGCAAGAGACAGTTTAGGCAAAAGAAGAGGGTTTTCACTAGCAGCAATGAGGATACATATAGCAAACCCTAGATGGGTTGTACTCGCTACAGAGCACCCCACTACAGGCTAGAGAATAACATTCTGACAGCTTGAACCCGATTTCAAGCAGGATGTTGTGTAGATACTGCTGCCACAGCCTCGGTGCCTGTTTTATCCCATAAAGAGACTTGCGCAGCTGGCATACGCGCGAATCCCCTTCGCCGTATGTGTGGGGCTGCTCCACGTAGATGACGGCGTCTACTAACGCGTACAGGAACGCGTTCTTCACGTCAATCTGACATAGAGGCAGGTGTCGAGCGTTTGCGATGGCGAGCAGGATTCGGACGGAGGTGTGGCGGCTGACCGGAGCAAATGTCTGATCGAAATCGATCCCGTGCCTCTGGTCGTAGCCGCGCACCACCCATCTTGCCTTGAAGCGCTCGATCGTTCCGTCTGCTGCGGTCTTCACGCGGAAGACCCATTTTCCGGTGAGAAAACTCTCGCGCCTTTGATTGCTGCGCGGTCGACTAGCACCCAGGTATCTCGGGATTCGAGTGCTTTAATCTCCGCGTCCATCGCCTCGCGCCATTCCTTTCTGTATGGTCCAGTGAGAGCTTGGCGCGGGTTTCGTGGCTCGATGACACGTGGCGCTTTCGAGGTTGCGGTGTGGAGCCCGAGCAGCTGCAGTCCTGAGACAGTGCTGTCGTGGCGACGTTGCGGGATGACTTCCTGCACGTCGTCGTCATCGCTCTCTGGTTCGGGTGGTGCTGATGGTGTTGTGCCTCCGCCGCTTCCGTCCATTCCGCCCATTCCTCCTTCAGAGGAGTCGTCGTCGTCGTTGCTGTGGCAATCTCCCCATGTGAACTCACCCCTGGTGTCTTGCTCCAGAATTGCTGCGGCGGCTTCGTCCTCGGGCGTTGCGTAGCTGTGCCCGTCGTTCGCGTAGACGCGGTTCGCATTTGTCTGCTCGTCGTGGCGGAACTGTTCAAGGAAGAGGCGTTCGTAGAATATCACGTCGCGGGCATGGGTGGTCTTCTGACTGAGCAGGTCCAGCACGATCCATGCCTTGTGCTCGTGACTGATGCCGAGGTGAATGCCCCATCGCGCGCGGCTGGCGAATTTGCCGATGGTTGACGTCGGCGGGCGGTATTGCACCATGCATCCCCACACGCGGAGCATGGATGTGTCCCCTTTAGTCCCGGTCCACTTTACATGCGGGGATAAGTTGCCGGTGATGGCGGTGGTTGACAGCAGGTTGTGCATCGCGTAGGTCCAGTAGATCGGCGGTAGCTTCGACTGCTTCATCAGCGCCCGCACCTTTGTCATGAGCGTGCGGTTCGTCCGCTCAAGTACGCCCTGCTGCTGGTGTGCGTAGGGGAGAGAGATGTGATGCTCGATCCCCTTTTGCGCCAGGTAGCTCTGCATCTGGTTGCTCCTGAATTCTGCTGCGCCGTCAGATTGCCAAATTTTTAGCCTTTTCTCAGACTGTCATTGCGCGTGCGCCAGCCAGAGTCGGAATACCTCGTAGGCTCTGTCGCGGGTCTCCACATTTGCGACCCACACATAGCGCGTTCCGGCGTCGATGAAGGTAAGCGTGTCCATTTTGTCATCGACTCCGCAGTGCCCCACGTTCAGGAAGTCGCTGTACACTTTGTGCAGCTTGGGGTAGCGGTTTGTTCCTGGCTCGAGCAGCGGGAACGGCTGGTGGCTTAGCGCAGCTTCGGGGCAGACGGTGCAGTTGCGCGGATGTGTCGTGCCTCTTACTTCAGTGCCGTCTGGACGCAGGAGTGCTCCTGGGGCGAAGACTCCCGCGTCGATGCAGTTTTTCAGTTTCGCTCGTGAAAGATGTCTGAGGCGCTGGTGCCAAAGCGCATCGTCAGCGCGAAAACCGGAGGTGCGCATGTAGCGCGCGCGAGCTTCTTCGGGGTCTTCGTCAGACACGGGGGCAGGTTCTGCTGCTGCCTCTGCTGCTTCTTCTTCGTCGTTGGCGGTGGTCATCATTAGCGCCAGAAATTCTCTGTCACGAATTTCAGAGAGAGGGATGTTAGTCCCAGGGATGGTTCCAGGGACAAAGGTGGGTTCGCGCGGTTCGGGAGCGGGTCCGTAGACGGTGCGGCGCGGAGTTGACGGCTCGTTGCCCCAATCGATGGTGTCCCAGGGGTTGCGATGCGGCGGAATGTCAGGCGGAGGCAGCACGGGTGGAGCATGGCGCGGGGGACGACCAAGGGGAACACCTGCAGCCTCTACTGCTTCTTCTCCCCCCCTTTGTTCTTCGCGGGAAGTCTCCCAGCCTTCGGCAGGGGTTCCCCAGCCGCTAGTGTCGCCGCCAGATGCGGCGCCCCATCCGCCGGTGTCGGCCGTTCCCCATCCGCCGACGCTCCCCCACCCCCCTTCATTGGAGGCGCTCTCTTCCGCTTCGGCTCCCCATGCGCCGCAGGCGAATGTTCCGCGTGCTTCGGCGAGGCTTTGTTGGCGAAGCTCCTCTGCTTCGCGGCGCGCCAAGTCTTCCTCCTGTTCCACGGTGAGTTTTGCCGTGGGGTCGCGCCAGTGGGGGTAAGCATTCTGGAATTCCTCCCGTGTGTAGGGCCGCGCGACTCCGCGTGTGTCGAAATTTCCGACGCCACTGCCGCGTAGCATCCCTTGGAGGTGTTGGGATGGGGGTCCGATGAGAGGGTGGTTTGGTGCTCCGAACACGCCGCGCGTGGTGATTTCGAGTTTAAGCTGCGACATCCCTTCTTCTGGAGGTGCATGTCGCTCAGTTTCGGCGATAGTGGCAAGCCCACGACCGGCAATTCCGCTAGTTGACGCGGTAGGAGTGTGACAGTCTCTGCAGATGCCACTTGTGTCGGGGTCGTGCAGCGCCGCTTCACGTGGGTGAGGGTGGTGCAGCACCCATGGTCTTCCGTCAGGGTGTTTCCAATCCCTGCGGTGGATGTGCTTGAAGTGCAGTGGCACGAGATCGATTAGCTCGTGCGAGTCGCCGCTGCAGTCGGGGATGTCGAAGTCCAGGACATACACTCCGTTTTTGGAGTGTGCTCTTCCGATCTGCCTGCGGGGGAAGGCCCTCGATTCGTAGTGTAGCAAAATGTCGCGCGTCGCGCGGTCTGTGCTGAGTTCGACGCCGCAGTCCATGAGCTGTGCGGCGGAAAGCAGGTTGAAGCGCAGGTTCTGGACGATCAGCACATCGTTGAGCGTGATGTGCGTGCGGCTTCCGCGTGCCTTGAGCACGACGATGCCTTGCGCGCTTGCGCGCAGGCGTGTGTTGTTAGCCACGGTGACTGTGGGGGTGGCGACGGCGTTGGATATGTAACGCTCGGACAGCGTGGCCGCAGCAGCTGTCCAGGTACCAGGTGTTGTAGCGCTTGTTGTCGTCACGGGCGTGACGATGTGCGGAGTGTCAAACTTCAGAAATTGTTCGCGCGAGAGCCAATCAAGTGGCGCCACCCGCATATCAGGTACGTGCGGGGGACTCTCAAGCAGCGGGACTGGGAGATTCCAGTCTTGGTTGTCGTCGTCGGTAAAGTCGTGGCGCGGGCTGAACGGGTTATTGTTGGTAAACGCGCCGATGGGTTGCGGTGCTGGCTCAGGTGATGGTGAGCGCACGCGGCGACGACGCGACTCGCCCGTCATGGCCATGTTGCTCATGACGTTGCGAACTGGGGCAGTCGATGACGGCTGCTGCTGCTGATGCTGAACCGCTGGGTTCAGGTTGCGCGCGGGTGGGGGTTGATACCCCTGGGCTGGACGCACGTCGCCTCGTGCGTCTTGTCGGCCGGACCAGTTGCTCGGATTGGTCGGGCGAGGGCGAGATCGGAATTTACATCGATCCGCCAGATGCCCAAAATTTCTGCAGATTTTGCAGTAGAGGCGCCGCGGCCGTCGCTCTTCGGTGTTGTCGGCGTAGAAGGCGAGCCGTTCACGTTCTCGTCGTGGCGCTGGTCGCTGCTGATCCATATCCCGTTGTTCGACGAGAAGGGCGGCGCAAAGGGCGGCCTCCGAGATGACCCCCTGCTGTCGGAGAAGCGCCTTGCAGGGCCGCCACTCTGGGCCGAGCCCTTGAAGCACGATGTTCACGAAGATTTCCTCCGAAATCGAGCTTCCCAACTTCGCGATTTGGTCGCGAAGGCTCCGACAGCGATTGATGTAGCTGTTGACCTTCTCCCCTGAGGTCATTTTGGTCTCCAGTAACTGCTGGAGTAGCCGGCTCGAAGAGACTGAGTCCTTCGGCTGATACACACCGTTCAGGTGGCGCCAAGCGTCGAGGGCCGGAGCAGCAGATGTTTTGTACAAACGGATGCTTAACTGCTCCGCCGGCGACATGTTGCGCAGGAGGACTCCGTACGCCATCAATGACTCGTTGTAATAGCGAGTTTTGGCGTCATCGGTGTCCTCAGCGGGTTCCGCGTAGCTCCCGTCGAAATAATGGAAGATTTGGGCGTTCTGCAGCAGGAGCTCCAGTTCGAAGCTCCAGGTATAGAAATCTCTGCCGTCAAAGCAGGTACTTGTCTTTATTTTTGATATGCTGAGAAACCTTGATTGCGCGGAGAGAATTGCCTCTTCACTGGGACGGGGAGCCTTGGGGGTTGAGCCATTTGTGTCGAGGGAGAAAGTGTGCGGGGCGGCGTTTTGACCAGTTGGGGCCGGTTGAGTAGGTTGCGATGATGTTCCCGCATCGCCTTTCCGCAATGTTTGGAGCCCTTGCTCCAAGCTGGTGAGTCGCTGAAGGAGTTGTGCGAGGACTTCGGTACCGATCGTTGTCGTTCCCTCGCTTGTCGCAGCCGGGCTGGTTTGCGCTTCAGCCGTCAGATTAGTCTGACCACCAGATCCTCCGGCCATTCTCACACGCGAGCGTGTGCCGGACGCCACTTTCCGAATGTCGTAATTTTCGGGAGTGGCAGTGCGAAGGATTCCCGAGCCGCTCTCATACCATGCTACGATCAGAAAGGGGATCGCTCGCAGGATCTACTAGGGAAGGTTCGCATGCAGGTAGATAGTGTTGGTGGGCCCTTGACCTCAATAGCAGAGTGAATGTAAAATGCTTGAGATGATTAGAACATGCAAATACAACGATATAAATAGGAGTACAGGGAATTCGAATCGACCTAGCTAGCCATGTACTCTAAGGGGTACATTAGCATACTCAAAATCATTATCAACCGTGCGGCGCGTACAGTTATAAAAACTGTTCCCGCCAATTCCTCTTGCCTGCAGCTGCCCGATGCCGTCTGCTCCGACGGTCCAGATGCAGTTCAACCGTCTGCGACGCTTCGAGTCATTTTCGACTCTTCTCATCTATTCTTGTTACTGCGTGCTTCTTTTGCCGCGGTGAGGAGTGCACAGTAGTGTTCTGATGCCACTATTCGTAACACTGCGCTGCCCACGGGCAAAAATAAAACCCATTTGGGCCTGGCATGCGTTAGGGAGGCATCAACCAGGGCTGGCGTTTCATTTTAGGCCTCCCTGATTCCGGGGAAAAATTTCCCCCTCTATTATGGGTGCACATTTTCCAGAAAAACAGCACCCTGATTGCTCAGGGTTGTAAAGTAGTTAACCCTGAGAAAAATGTCGCGCCCTTTGTTACCGGGGAAAAATGTTCCACTCCCCATGAAGCCTGCGCACTGTGTTTCGCGCTGGCTGTGCACTCGACTAATTTGTGCAGGGCAGGTGCGATTGACCTATCTGGTGTGCGGATGTAACGTTTCCCTGTACCATGCTCAATCGGATCACTTCAGACACGCTGCGACTGTAACGTTTTAGTCACCCTCAGAGGCGTGCATCCTGGAGCGAGTGTAAACGGGCGAGTCAAACCTGTTCGAGTCACAGATTTCCGACAGCAGAACTATTTCGACCAATCAGAGCAAAGTATTTCTGACATTGCAGATTCGCCCGATCATTTTGGCGGTGAATCAGAAAAAAGTTTCCGAGAAACTTCGGCTCAATAAAGAGGGGGGGAGGGGGGGTGGGGGGATCACGCGATCAATCCGAAGGCGGGGTTATCGAAAAAAAATTTCGAGGAACCTTCGTTCTGATACCCTCGCATTTAGGGTCCGCAAGTACACTACTCTGAGCCTAGTTACAAGATTTCAGGGTTCGTTAAGTAACTTATCTGATTGGATCAGAGTTCACAAGTTAAAAAAACGGTAATTGCAGGGACCACCAGGTGAGAAGCCTGTAATCACCATGAATTCAGGGTAATTACCCTGATAAAATCAGCTCTGGCATCAACCCTAAACACCTTGCCTCCAAGTGTTTCGGGTTGATGCCTCCCTAACGCATGCCTTACCTGTAGGGGTTTTATTTTTGCTCGCGGGTAGCGCAGTACAGAACTTAACTAATTTTCTGTTGAAGTTTGTGATAACAATAAAACAGATCGCGGTTCACGCGATCAGAGGCTCGCCACGTGGCAAAAATAAGTCAAACCGCGC